CCACCCATTCTCACACACGGCGCCGGGGTCCAGCATCCAAGAAACATCCAACCAATTGTCCACACTCGCCGGGTCAGCATCCAGGGAACAACCCACCCATTGTCCACCACCCGCCAGGGTCAGCATCCCAGGGAACATCCACCCGTTATCCAAGAGACACTGCCGGTCGTCCACATGCGCCGGGTCAGCATCCAGGAACCTCCACCCATTCTCCACACTCGCCGGGTCAGCATCCAAGAACCTTCATCCATCTTGCGCACTCGCCGGGCCAGCATCCAAGAACCTTCATCCATCTTGCGCACTCGCCGGGCCAGCGTCCAAGAGCCATCGCCCATTGACAACAGTCTCTGGGGCAGTATCAGAGAGGCACCGTCCCTCGGTAACATTAGCCAAAAGAGTATCCAAGAGACACCATCCACTGTTAACATTAGCCAAACGAGTATCCAACAGACACCATCCGTTAGCAGCGTTCACCAAGCCGGCCCCCAAGACACACCGCCAGTTCCCCCTCTCAACACCCTGACCGTTCTGCCAAGTGTCCAAACAAGTTCCCAAATTCGCAGGTTCAGTATCCCTAGGCCTTCGCTGATCCCCCACGTCCCCCACACCAGTCAAACCAGTTTGGGAGACAACTTGACGAGCACCCAGAGTCAAAGTTTAAAGGTTCCAGGCATCAAGTTCCCAAACCGCGCCAGCGTGGACGTCCCCCCTTCAATTACCGACAGCCCTGAGGCCAGCGTGGAAAGCATGGAATCAATTCTCTGGGTCTCCCAGGAGGCGTTCAAAGAATCTTTGTACAACCTCCAAGTCAGCAAAAATTCTCCAGATAGCGACATCCCGCTACACAGCTCCATGGACACCAGCTCTGGCAGGTGAGAGGCAGAGGTCCAGGCAAAAGGCCAGGTTCTGGGTGAGAATTGGAGGGGAAGTAGGGGATGGGGGTGGAGGGAGACAGCAGTCAAAGGACAGGGACCAGAACATGCCTGGCATAGCAGAGTTTAGAGGTTGGACCTAGGGGTGGCCGGTCTTCGAAGCTGGTCCTGCAGGCTGGCAATGGGTAGGGCATGACACAGAACCTGGAGAAGGGATTTTGGGGTGGCAGGGCCTGGAAGCTAGATCTGGAGGCAAGGGAGCCTGGAAGGCAGGGCCTAGGGGAGACAGGGTATAGAGGATGGACATAGAGAAGATAAGAGTCTGAAGGCTAGACTGGGTGGGACCGGGTCTGGCAGCTGGACCTGGGATGGTTGGGCTGGGGAGCTGGACGCGGCGCTGACACTGGCGGTGGGCTCTCTGCTGCAGGTATGCGGTCAGGGCTAAACGCAGACATTCACAGCTGCCTGTGGGCACGCGGCTGCTGCACCAGGCCAAGAAGCTCAGCCGCCAGCTGAGCCTGGTGCTGAGCCTGGTGGGCGTGGTGATCATCGGTCTCATCACTCTGGGCCAGCCCTGGGTCCACTTCCAGGTGCCACTGACACTCCCTGGGGGTCCTGCTGACCCCCCGCCCCAAACCATCCCCATCAACACCATCTTCATTGTGCGGTGTTCTGACGTCTCCTGCCTGCATGAGCAAGACCACAATGCTTGTAAGGCCTGCCCTAGACTCCCCATTCCCGGGGCACGTTTCTCCTGTCCTAAGGACCCCTTTCCGCCTTCCCTGGGATGACCCCACTGCCCCGGGTGTGTCCTCTCTGCTCTGCAACGGTCCTCACTACCTCCGGACCAGCCTCCCTTCCCCAGGATGGGGCTCCCTGCTGCACGACCACGCTCGCTGCCTTGTGTTCATCCTCACCTACATGACCCTGATCCTGCTGTTCCTGATTCTCTTCCTTCCCTAGACTTGCTGGACTCCGCCTGGGCCTTCTTCTTCATTTCCAGCTTCACCAGCTTCTGCCTCTGCCTCATACTCATAGACATCACCTTCTTCACCAAGTCCAACGTGCCCGTGCTGGACTTCTCCAACATCGTCCTCAGCAACCTGACAGGCATGGCGCTGAGATCCTTCCGTTAGGGACACCAAGACGAGGCGAACCTTGCCGGGTGCCTGCCATGACACCCAACCCACTCCTGCCAAACTCCAACCGCATCCCCTTCCCATCCCCACCTTCCGTCCCAATTCAAATCCTATCTCTTACCCAGTGGGTCGGCAAACTGCGGCTCGCGAGCCACATGGGGGCTCTTTGGCCCCTTGAGTGTGGCTCTTCCACAAAATACCATGTGTGGGCGCGGCATGTAGTATTCGATTGAAACTTCGTGGCCCATGCACAGAA